TATTTTTATATTCCCGTTATTCTTTATCATTCACAGAAAATAATCTATCATTAAACCATCGAAACACGTCATAATTGTTTTAAAATATTTGAATACCGTATTTTAATTTCCATAGTAATGTTGTAAAATTAATATTATCCAACATCTCTGTTCTTATAATATTCTACTTCGAATAATTTTTAATTAGTGGGCTAACTTTTTCAGTGTTTAAGCTGGATCTTGATTTAACAGTACCAAGATAAATGTAACGATAATTACGTTTCCACACACCTAATATTTAATTACTCAGAGATACCATAAGGATAATACGGAAACGTGCAGTGGTTATATTAATGTAATAATAATGTACACTTACATTAATGTAAAGTAAATTGAATAAAGTGTGACGTAATACAGCGATCTACAACCAGCAGAGCTTTCAGAAGGAAAAAGAATTCAATGCTATCCAAATCTTCGAGCCCTTCTTAATTAACCCCCTATAACCCCCAATTTCATTTCTCACGAGAATGTCATGATTACCAATAACTATTTAGATCGATCTCGAATCCCAAATTTAACGATCTGTAGAGACACATCCCAGACGCGGAAAGCGAAGGTTCCTTGTATATATTTTCGACTCCTTCGCGACATCGAGGTTTCCGGATCAATGGGGACCTGATTTACGTCTTTACGACCAGGGCCCCATGACTCGCGGACCACCTCGACGTCTAACGAACAGCGAAAAAGAGTCAGTTCGTTTACGCCTCTCTAACGACACGGATTTTTTCCCGAAAAGCTGGCCTTCAGTTTTTCCGCATCTGGCCCCCCGCACATAATAATGTCCTACTCAGGAAACGTAGTGCTCTTTTCACTAAAAACCTCTCGTTCTCCACCTTCAGATCAATCGGTATTTTCTTAGCGATAATTAAAATAGAAATAAAAAATAATTAATAATAATAATAATTAAATAATTAAAATAAAATGAAAAAATAAAAAATTAAAATAAAATTTCAAACACACGGAAATATAGAAAATTTGCAAGTCACGTGTTTGCGTGTTCGTATTAGAGAGGGGTTAAGTTTACTCTGGCAGAGATTCGAGGACAAAATAGATTTTGGCTAATACGATAAAATCCACTGTTGAATGAACTTACTGAGACACGAAGGCAGGTTGTACCATTCGTCGTTGACGCAAACGGGAACGGCACTTCCGTTCAAAACGTAATTGTGCCGACAGGTGTAAGTCAGAATGCTGTTTCTGGGAACTTTATCTCCGTGACGCTTGGAACAAGGTTTACCGCAACCACCCAGTTCGTAACTTCCACCTTCGGGTTGTTCGGGAAGGACGCAGCCGTTTTCCGGTTTTCTACAATGTCCGGCCACGAATAATTAACGCTGTCGTAATTAAACGGGGTGCAAATAAGGGAATAATTGAATTCGTTACGGTGCTGGCTATTTTCTTAGCCTTTTCTTCCTGAAATTTAGCAATCGTCTTCGTTCTCGACGATCCTTCCACGCGAATCTCAACGATATCTCGTTAAGTGCTAACTTTTCATCCTCTCCCTTTTTCTAAAATATTTTCTTACGACTCCGCGTATATTTATTTTTCGTTAAAGTAAATTAACTTACTTGACACAGCCGAGCTCGTCGCTCGAATCGCGACAATCGAATTTGTTGTCGCACCTCGCTGTCTCCGGTAAACATTCGCCGCTTCCACAACCGAACTCGTTTTTCCTGTTTTCGAAATGACAACAAACGTTGATTACGTGTTTGAAGACGCAGCATGCAGTGTGTACTCGTGATTGTAGAATTTCACCCCGACCGAGGCCAGGAAACCGGGACGAGGGAGAAGTTGGAAAGACTTGTTTAAAATATCCTCTCATATACCAAATATTTCTCACCTTTCCCGCTATTCCGTCTCCTTTTGCCTCTTTTTACATTAAATTTACCCTCCTAGCGTTTATCTTCTGGCTAAATCTAAAATGTCAGCTAACTCCCAACAACTTCCAATCCAATTTTCCCCGTTTAACAAACTCATCGATTGTTTGCTCTGCGAATTTTTTCCCGATACTGCCAACGAAACTGGTGTAAGAAACACTTTCGCGAATTCAGGATAAAATAAAAAAAGAAAAAAAGAAGCAACACTCTGTGTGAAACGAAATCGCGTAGCGATGTCGGATTTCGCGTGTCGGTTAACAGGAAGCGAAGCTAACGATTCACAATCAAGCTACAAACGTATATACACTTGTTTCTATCGCCATTTCGCAGTACATGCCGTGTTCCCGGGATCGAGTTTCCATCAGTAATCTCGCCCGGGCACGTTTGTCACTTTTGGTTAACTGAAATTCATTAGGACAATTTGAATTGACGAAGTATTTCATAGCCGGATATAGCAAAACTGCCGCGATTGCTGAAAACCCGTTTCCCAAAACGCGATCGGCGTGCCACCATATCGCGTCGTATTTAATCGTTACCCGTTTTATTGTCCATCTATTTAACCGGCCCGTCCTGTGTGTCACGTTCATTACGCGATTCCTCCGAATTTCGAACGTCCGTTTGGCGCGGAAATCACTCCGTTTTGACTGTTAGTACCGCGCATATTTTAAAGATTATTCCTTATCTCTGTCATCGCGTTGTTTCGTCGTTATACCATTACTTTGTTAATAACCGAACCATTTGCAGCAACCATTAATTCAGAGTCTTCTTACATCAGAGTCTATGAGAACTCTTTTCCTCGTGTTTACAGAAAAATCAAAATACAAAGAGATAATAGTATACTAGTAACAAATTATTAAGAAGATCGAGTGCGAAGATAAATGCGAAGATATAAAAAGAAAATTATCGTAAGATATTAATCTTTGCAACTTTGAAGCAGTGGTTATCCTTGAACATCTGAATTCCTTACTCTCGCGAGTATTTTTCATGGCCACGATCCATCTAACTCCGTTCTCCATATGTAAATCACGCGAAACGACGTTGATAAGATATTCAGTCACATCGTTGACTTTGACACTTGAAAATATTTAAAAATCCGCTATGCAACGCGCCAACTTTATAGATTAAATCTCACCTGCAAGAAGTGTCATCTGTACGAGGCAATATAGTCGTGGTCCCGATTGATTCCTGATTATCAGCCGAATGTTCCTTTTCTGGCTTCCTTCTTGGTTTTTCATAATTATAGTCGAAATTGGGTCTTCCTGGGTCTCTTCTAGGATTGTTAAACATATCAGGGGGACCAGGGGGACCACCACCGTTAAGTCCAGGGGGGCCACCTCCGTTAAGTCCAGGTGGGCCACCTCCGTTAGGACCAGGTGGACCACCTCTGTTAAATCCAGGTGGAAAGTCAGGTGGTGGTTCGCCAGGAAATCCAGGAGGCCTGCCACCGCGAAATCCAGACGGTGGTGGTCCTCGATCAGGTGGTGGTCCTCGCCCAGGTGATCCAGGAGATCCACCATACAAACCTGGTGGACCTACACGTGAACCTGGAGGACCTGGAGGACCTCTTTGTCCATCGAAATTCATTTGTCCGCCAAATCTGTTACGTGCAAGCCCAGGGGGGCCGAAACGGTTGCGATCCCATTGTGGGTCTGCACTCTTCTTCACGCGAGTGTCTTTATGATCGATGGCTAACGAGGTGGAAACAATTGCTTCGTGATAATAGGTCTCTGAATTTCTTATCGCGAATACTATCGCGTCATCTGGAAATTCTGTCACGCGAGGCACTTCCGGAAGAAGCTCGAATTACGAAAGAAGAATAAACAAAGTCGTTAGTTAATACGAAGATTTAGTTAAGCTGAATTTCTTAGTAGCTTTGCATAGTGTAAACTATACCAATTGTAAACTATAGAGAATTTTAAGATCCTCTGAAGACGATACAGAGGCTTTTCTTTTTGTGAGATTATCGACGACGCTTATAAAATACAAAACAATCATAGCAAATTGTTAGTATTGGAAGGTATAGATGAACAGATATTATTAAGTAACAAGGAACGCATTCCCACAGATTCACACCTCTCGAAGAGACAAGAAACCGGTCCCAAAATATTTTCGATTATTAAATCCATCTAGCCACAGTCTCGTCTCCCATTCACCAAAACCTCGTCATCGATTATTAAAGAAATAAACCTTTCTAAAAAAAAAAAAAAAAAAAAAAAAAAGAGCGACAGTAACCAATTATTGAAAAATCATTCGGAAAACCTCTGTACCCCGTGTGCATTTTATGCACGCCTCCTTCTTCCTCGCGACTCTGTGACAGATCGATCATAGAAATCGAGCGTAATGCCAACTACTTACGCGATGCCGCTAAAGCGATCAGTAATTGAAAAGCAAGACAAAGTCTAACACTCGCATTCATAACTAATCTAGTTCCGCGACACCATAGCAAACACCGTCGACAGTCCTATAATGGCTAGCTGTCGTCTCGTTACAACCGAAAGAGGAGACTGCTCGTCTACGACTACTTAGGATGTCGCATAATACATAAAGCGTCACGAATCCATGTGAGAAATCCTTGACAGGGAACGATGAACCATTTCCTTCGCTTGATGCTACTGACGAAACGAACAGATCGATTCGAATTTTGATCATCTACGAAATACATATATACGATGATGACCATGAATGGGCAAACCGGCTCTAGGAAATACGTAAATAACCGTGACCAAATAAGATAGAATTTTAAAGGAAGATCAACAACTTGGAATTTTTATCCGTGACTTAACGAAATCGAATAATCCGCGAAGACAGTTATTAATTTTATAAGAGTTGACTGACGGATTGATTACATGCACGCTAATCACACTGACTCTATACCACATGCTTACGTGAGTACGACATATGGTTCCGGGTTCTTCAGGGTAGTCGACAACCAAATAACTAGGACCCTTTGACCACCACCAATATATTAGGTTGGCAAGTAAGTGATTGCCGATTTTAAATAAGAAGGAAAATACAACATTTTTTAGCGAATCTCAGATTTTGGTGTCGTCTGGGCTGGTTCATCTTGCATCGCCCACGATCTTTTCCAATTAACGTTGTTATAAACTATCCACTTTTCGTCGCCAGTTATCAGTCGTTTCAGAAATCGATCAATTTCGTTGCGTTTCAGAAGCGAATCGCAGATGCTAATGCGTTGCGTCAAATGAATTTCCTTAAGCCGATCGAGTTTCTTGACACAGCCAAGCCGTTTTAATTTTTTTTTAATGCATGTATGCGATACATTGAGCTTCTCTGCGATCTCACGTGTTGCGCTATGACGATCTACTGTGCTATGACGATCTGAATCGATATTGGCCTTGATATGGGTCTCGTCGACTTCAACTGGACGGCCAGATTGTTGCGCATTTTTCAGTGAAAAATCAGCAGAATGAAATTTGGCAAACCAATTTTGACACTGTCTTTCTTTC